GTAGACCAAAGAAGTAGAGGGAAAATATCATATTTTGTCATCAAAAAACTTTTTTTTTCACCGAATAAAATGGTAATTACCGGTGACTATCTCCCTCTTCATGTTTTCCTTTGACTTTTTATTATCTTTTCATCATCTCTATTGAAAAATTAAACATCACCGATGAAATTCATTATTAACACAATCCAAAATACATCTCTTTGTCATCTAAAAATGTTTTTTTTTCATCGAATAAAATGGGGGTTAATAGTAATTATCTCTTTTTTTATTTTTCTTGTCATTTTTATTGCCGTTTCATCATTCATATTTAAAAAATCAAATACAATGACAAAAATCACTTATCAATGCCGTTGTAGAAGACCAGAAAAACAAAGAATTGAATAGAAAATAAAAATTGACAAAAAAAAAAAGAGAAAAAACAATAAAGTACAACCAAAAAAAGAAAAGCAAATAGAAAATATTTTGGTTCATCTATCTCTCTCATGGAGAGAGTGAGAGTGAGCTACACTTTCTCAGCCAGTGGCTAAAAATGATAATATCAAATAACATCATTCAGGGGTTCATAATACCCCGCAAAACTTAAATATCTTTTTAAAAGATAAAATAGTTTGGTGGACCCCTGTACTTGTACCAATTTGTATTATAGACCCTTCTACTTACCTCTTTGTCATCTGAACCCTTACACTCAATAAAACACAATATATCAAATTCCTCTGATCATTGACCATGCTTATGTGGCATTAAAATGGTTGAGTTGGCAAGAGAGTGAGGCTACACGCCTATTAAGGCAAGTGAACACCATATTTAAATTTAAAAAAATATTTAAATTATAAGAGAATAAAATAATAAACTTAGAAAAGAAAAAAAAATCATTCTTCTTCAACCAATCCACCTACTTTTTCAACCATCCCATCCTTGCCCGACCCTTTTTTTTTCTTTCTTCCATCTTCTTTAGGTGGTCTAGTACACCAGAGGCAGCGATGAGCCTCCTAGCATGTTGTTACGCTGGAGGCAGTGAGGAGTTTCTTGGCCTTTTGATATGCCGGAGAGGATGGAGAGCATAGGGGTCCTAGTGGTTCGCAACGATCGGCAATGGTTCACAGCGGTCGGTGATGGTGAGTGGCGAGGAGCTGGTGCGGCGGCTTAGGGTTTCTGGATTTGTGGAGGTTGGAGAATGAGGAAAGAAAAATGGTGAGGGTGTGCGATGAAGATGGAGACTGGTGAAAATGGAAGATGATGTGAGGAGACACAAAATTTTAATTTAAAAGAATAATAAATTGAAATTTAATTTGTCAAAATTGCATCAAAACTTTATGATTTTTCTTTTGTCTAAAAAAGAAATTATTATAAAAATAAAAAATGATGTGGCAAATTTTATCTGACATGGAGTGTGACATCAGCGTGATTGAGAGTCACGATGAGTTGAAAGGGTTCAACAGGTTGAGTTTAGATGGGTTCATGGGTCCAGATGACAAAGATGTAAGTAGAATGGTTCACAATACAAATGCATACAAGTATTAGGATTCACCAGACCATTTTGCCTTTTTAAAATAGGTACTAATGTAAAAAGAATTTTATGTATTTTCTCTAATTAAATACTCCGATTTGTTAGTTTAAGCACATGATGATTTCTAATTGAAGAGCAAGACTTACTTTAGCACTTTAACTTTATGATAATTATTTACCCCCTAATACCTTTTCAAGTGAATTTAATATCATTCTAAAATTATAATATCAGTCTCACAATGGATAGTGCAATCCACACACGCCATATCATTGATATATGAGCGCCACATCATTACCATATCAACGTCATAGTGAACATTATTTAATTTTTAATTTTTTTTATTCTTTTTTTGTTTCTTCTTATTTATTCATAATTTTGAAAGTAAAAAAATCTCAAAAAATGAGCTCGCTTGTTCCTCAACTCAGTCAAGATTGCAATTGAATAAACTCAAGTCACAATTGAAATAGTGATCGAAGATCTCAAAACTATTCTCACAAAAACACATTCAATTTTTGAGAAATATTATCAAAACAAATGAATAATAACAACTGAAAAATTAATTTGAGATGAAAAAATTACAAATTTTTCATTAGAAAAAGTTTCAAGTTCATCACATTCAAAGACTACCATTTGAAGCAAGAACAAATTGTTGATTTTTCCATTTTGTTTTCCTATTCATCACACCCTTTGATTAATCGAAATGAAATGGGGGTGGGGCATTTCAAAGAAGGAGAAAGAAGATGGAAAACTCAACGAAGAAAAAGAAGATAAGGGCGAGGCAGGTGATGATTGAGGCAGCGAGATCTGAAGAAAAAGACAAATGGTGGGGGTGAGGGTTCGAAGAGGAGAAATAGGGTCGGGATGGGAGTTTTAAAGAAGAAGAAAGAGGTGGTGCAAGTGGGTGAGGTGTAAGGAAGATGAAGGAGTAGGGTGGGGATGGTGGTGCTATGGGCTGGGGTGGTAGGGTGTGAGGAAGATGAAGGAAAGAAATTTATTGGCTAAAAAGAAAAATATTAGGACCCATTTATTTTTTTTCTCTTTAGTTTTTGATATTTACGTGCTGTATAATTTTTTTAACTCGTCACGTCAGCTATTTGGGTGTATTTAAATTCACTTGAAAAGAAATTAGGGGGTAAATGATTACCCGTAGAGTTAAAGTGCTAAAGTAAATTTTACTGCCACGTTCAAGGGGGATTTATGTATTTTCTCTTTTTTAATTAGTGATTTTTAGGTTCTTCATACTCAATAGACAGATTTTAGAAACAATATCTCATAATTTTAACTTTTCCTTATTAAATACTCAAGCATTTCTATACCTTTTTTAATTTGTCAAATAATATTAAGCTCAAATTTAATAATTTTACAGATTTAGGAAAGAAATAGTATTAAAGAACAAGTAAAATTAACCACAAAAAAGGTGAATAATATTTCTAATATCAGACAAAATTTATTGGATATTGTTTCCACATAAGTAAAGATCGAGAATATTTGAATAATATATGTTCTATATATTCATGTTCAAGATCACAAACTTTACATATATTATCCATATTCGTGGGTTGTTTTGCTATATTACTATTAACAGATAAAAAATTAATTATACATTTCTTTAAAAAAATATTTAAATTTAATTATAATTCCTAATCTCCGCAGATAATCCCAAAAGCTCTTAGATAAAAAGTTACAACTCGATTGAGGTTTTGAATTTTCACTTGTTTTACTCACCGTATATTTTATTAAATAGTAACATGTTTTAGCATTATGATTTTTCATCTGTGCACGTTATCATATTAATCTATTATTAGAACTGTAGTACACATCAAGATTAATAATAGGAAAAAGGGTCTGGTATACCTCTTAACTTTGTTATTTAAAGCTAACATATATTCGTTATAAAAGCGGCTCACATATACTTTTACCGTTACAAAAAAGGCTCATATATATCTCTATTGTTACAAAAGTGGCTCAGATATACCCCTACCATTACAAAAGTGACAAAAATAACTTCTAATTTTTTAAAAATCATATATTTAATCTTTTTCACACATAAATTATTTTTTGATTTCTTTGAGTTTTTTTTTTCTTGCATACTTTAGTGCAAAAATAAGAGAAATAAAAAGAAAGAAATGTGAGTGGATAAAGATTAAAAAGTTAATAAAGTTAAAATTAATTTTTTACGGCTATATTGTAATATAGTTTTTATATGTGTAAAAAAGTATAGGGGCGTCTATAATAAATTTTACAAGAAATTAAGTGAAAAATAAATAAATATGACCATTAAAATAATAAATTCAAATTAATCGATGAATAAAAATAGTCAAAAGTAAAAACCATGTGAGAAGGATCAAATATACCCCTACATGGATTATCTTCTCTTTTTTTTTTAATAAAAATTAATTTAAAAACTTTTTTTTTACTTTCGTTAGAGGAAAACGGTATATATAGGTCATTTGTGTAACAATAAGGATATATATAAGTCACTTTTATAACGAATGATATATCAGCTCTAAATAACAAATTTGATAGATATATCAGGTCTTTTCCCCGGATAATATAACATGTGCAACTTGAACTTCAAAGGTCATATTAAGCTCTTGTAAGTTCATTCTACTCAATTATAACCTTTTGCAAATTCATTTTTACAGCCATAAAGTTTTGCCTACATCGCCGTTTATTTTTTAAAAAAGTTGCATAAATTGACCATTTTGTTACCAAGATAGCTTAAAACACTATCTATGCAGTAAATAGTAGTAATGAAAAATTATTATACAATGAATCTAATTTTCTATTAAACATATTTAATCTCTAATTAATTGTTAATGTATTTTTTTTCTCTCTCTAATCATAAATCTCAACAAATCAATGATTCGTTAGGTGCTAAACCATTGATTCAAATATCAATGTGTTAGGTAAATATTCTAATCCTACTCGAGTATTGTTAAGTTGTCTTATTAGTAGATGTTTTTTCCTTCACTTCCGTTATTATGTTATTACTTGTTTTTCTCATAATTGTTTTTAACACGACTTTTTCAGTATGTATTTATTTTACAAACTTATTTTTTTATATGTTTACTCCAGTCAAGTATTTATTAAAAATAATTTCTGTATTTCACAAAATAGGGATAAGACTATGTACACCCGCACCACCCTCTCCCATAATCCAGTCTGGGGAAAGCTGAAAGCTATGTTTGCAGCTGACTGATACTCTCCTCTTCTTTGGGGAAGTTGAGAAGCATTTTCTTTTTATTCGATATCCACATTGAGACCCGACCAAATCCAGATTCAGAGAAGTCCCACATAAATAGTAAAATTCTCCCTACCAAAAGCGACTCCATATTCAAAGAGATTTGAATCCGAAATCATTAGTTAATGATGAAAGAATATTTACTACTCCACCACATCACTTGTTGGCAGGGATGAGAAACTTTAGCCTCTATTGAAACTATATATCAACTAGTCCCACCTTGCAAAAATCAAAATACTGAGAAACCTGTACAGAAACTACATCAAGTTCTCCCACATTGCATAAATCCATAAACTGAGTTTCCACAAGCGTTTCCACGGATGCAAAGTCGTTCATACATACACGCACAGTTATAGGAGCAACAAGAGTGTCAATAAACCGAAAATAATGCAGGGGATAATTGATTCAGTTCCTCATGAATGCTACGGTGGCTACACGTGAGCCTACTGATCCTCCAAATGTGAACGTAGGGTATGTACGAACATGGTCAAGGTAACGGAATGGAGGGGGATCTGAAGAGGCCTCTTGGTTTCCAACAGCATTTTTTCTTTGATTGAGAGTCTCCACTTCTTCTACCAGTTCATCTTTCGTACTATTACATGATGTAATGACCTACAATAGTGACCGTTCAGGCAAGTGGAAGATAAATTTACTTTGAGAACATGAAGCAAATAAATAAATAAATTGTATACAAAAATTTAGAGGACAAGTCCAGAGTCAAATAATAAGAGACACCACGGAATATAGAGACTATTCTAGGGAAGGACAAGAATTCGCGAAAGGAATATAACTCCTATTTCACAGTTTCAATATAGTGCTAGTAGAGATTTCTCTGGATCTCTCTTTTTCTCATTTGGAGGAACACCGACAAACTTCTAATTAGTAAGCTTCACGACCATTTTAATAATTAGAGGAGGACAGGGGCTGGAGTACTCACCAATAATCCACCAGGAGCAACAATCCTTGAGACAGCATCCCAGTACATAATCCTAAAATGGCCACAAGAAATGTGTCATATGAGAGAAGGCACTACCGATAAAGGCGACAATATTTACCGTGAAATATGATTGGAGTTGCTATAAGTAATTGCAGTTGTATATAAAAAGATAAACATAAACATATTAACATAACTTGCATAATACAAAAAGACAAAAATGTTAACATACAACAGACCTACCTTTTGATAGGACCATCAGGATGCAGTCCAATGGCATCTAAGGTCCCCTTGTCCAAAACAAGCCGAAACGTTGTATCCAATTTTGTTTCAAGAATGTCATCAACCTTGACACCAATCAAAAGTTGTTTGAGAATAATCATTTTCTAGCAACTAAAGAACACAAGATAGGTAAACCGCACATAGCAAGTACATGAAATCAATGATAAAGATAGAGTAAACTGGTAGGACAAGTTATGTTCTCTATTGCAGAATTCAGTAGACGTATTACATTTAGCACCATATCCCATTCTATTGCCACTATAGACTTGAACAAAGTTCTTTCGTGTACACAGTATTTTATGGGAATATCCAGATTACAAAGTGGGCATCCAGGTGCACTAAAGCTCCCCGTTATGCGCAGGGTCTGGGGAAGGGCCTATTGTATGCAGCCTTTCCTTGCATTTCTGCCAGAGGCAATTCCAAGGCTTGATCCCGTGACCACCTGGTCACATGGCAGCAACTTTACCATTCCAGATTACAAAGTAACATCAAAATTTAAGTCATTTTCATTTAGAAGTAATTGCACATGCAGAAACACAATTATAACCAACAATGTACTAAATAGGGATCACCACTTAGCATGTAGGAGAACAAGATCACCACTTAGCATGTAGGAGAACAAGAAGAGCAATTAGAAGTAACATGAAACTACAAAAGCAAGGTAGAGACTACTGTTTTTTGCTTTTATTTGTTTTTTCATATACTGGATTGCAACAGCTCTATGTACACTTAAGTAACTGTTCACATTCAGAGATAAAGTTCAGTTTTACCAAGAACTTGATATTGGTGAAACTATCACGATCCGCAAGCCTTCTCGCAAGGTCTATTGCTCCTTCACTATAGTCAGTTCCGGTGAGATCTGAAAACCTAACTCCACAATAAATAAACGATAATAAGAATCTAACCTTCAGATGTATGTTTAACAAAGCAACAAATGCATTTGAAAGTTCAGACTTAAAATAAACAGGTGCACTAGGAAGCATTTACGAGTGTTTCTTAAATCAAGATACCTCAGCATTTTCAAAGAAAAATATGTGCAACTGTAACTAGAAAACAGCACTCTCCTTACATAATTGAACAACTAAGATCTCTTAGACACCAACAACTTCTATCCCCCACGCCCAAACCGGGGGGTGGACATGTGAATTTGAACTACTAGATGCACTTTCATGGTAAACATAAAGTAGCCATCAAGGTAGTTCATCTCTTCCTTTCTAATTTTTGGTTTCCCTATTTCAAATATTTTCGAGATTATATAGACAAAGCAGAAAAGAAATCAACCAATCTTTATAGTTGAGGCTTCTCAACTTGCAATCAAGATTGCTAGGTCAACCCCAAATACAATGAGAATTTTACCACTAACGGGATGAGGAATTAAAAATTAGATCAAACATTTCATGACACAAGAAATTAAACAAAAAAAGGTCATAAAATATTTAAGATGGAAGCAGTGAATTGCTATTATGATGAACTTGATTTAGAATTCATTATAGAACCACTGGAGTTACACATGCCTTAACTACCATTAAATCAATCACTGTAAAAGCTTCTCAAGTAGACCTTTTTTTCCCTTTGGGTGGGGTGTGGGGGTAGATATGCATACATCATCTTGCCTAAACATGAAGATAGGTGTCTACTCTTTGAAGCAACATGAATATGTATAACTATCCACCACCTCAAAAGTAAATGATACTATGAACAAGTCAAAATGCAGAATAAGAATGTGCATGCATGCAAGATGAAAGAGCTCCTGAACTACAGCATATCAGGATTAGCCCAAAACAAGAAGGAAAGGATGGATAAATGATGGATAAATGGACAGGAAAGACGAAAATAGCCCAAAATATATGCAACCAAGGACTCAAAAGTAACTCAAAGGAAGATCTGCATATGTTATCTCATCATTCATCAGTATGCTTATTTCTTTTTGAAATATGCTTTCTGAATTAAATTTTCTGTGCTCTAAATGTTAATTGTTTTACATCTGACATTTCTTAGAACGGATATTTTATTCACTTAATTATTATTTTATAACAGGAGTCTGGTCCAACTTTCAACACACCTCGACTATTCTACCGGGTACCTGCTACCTCCCACCCTAGAATAGATCATCTATTCCTGCCCGTGAGACCTTAATATACGATTTTTGATGGAAATACTAACCATCAAGCAGGGTAACTGATAAAAACAAAAGTTGTCGCATAGATTAGCATTTTCAAAATGAAAATAAAAATAAATACCCCCTCCGATCCAAAATAATTGATATTTTAGGCTTGGACACAGAGATTAAGGAATTCACTTACTCCTAGAAATGGGGGTTTGACTAAATACCCTTAGTTATGATTTTTTTTTAGGTTGACATAATTATCATGGGAATTAGGAATGTATCAAGGGAAAAATTGAGAAAAGGAGTTAAATACTTCTTGGTTTTGTGAAACATCAATTATTTTAGACCAACTTTTAGAGGCTAACAAATCAATTATTTTGGATTCGAGGGAGTATATAGAAGATGCAGAAACACAAATGTGCACTTCACTTCTTCTCTAAAGCCATATGCTTTTCATGTACAACTGTGACCTTGACTGATCACAGTTTACTATCTTAACAATTACACAAACTGCAAATTTCCAACGCAGCATTATGGAACTTTCAAGATTTTGTAGCGATTGCGCCAAATAGTTCGCAGAAAAGCTCCTATAGCAGTTATAGAATGACGGAGTGAGGGAATGGGTAGCATACAGTAATAGCTAGGAGGAAATCAACTTTACCCCTGTTTAGCGAACTCTTGAAGAAGCAGACCGTTGCCGGTCCCAATATCAAGCACACTCCAATCAGCCAAGTCCTTCTCATGTACCCCAACTTGCTCGCCATCACCTACATGATTTGACAAGTGATTTTGACAAATGCCAGTGCACAAACCTCGGGTCCATGAAGCAACAATTTCCATAACATCAGCACCAAACCTATAGAAAGATAGGGAAAATAATAGATTAAAATCATTCATGAATGTTTTGTTTATCATTATCATTTATTAGGAACATAATAATCCAATGTTAGAATCACTATCCCATCACCACTTCCTCTTTCAGGTTATCTTTTAGGGGTTGGGAATGGTAATCTTTGTAAAAGATGGAAAGAAAGCCCAAAAATTGTCTTCCATATCTATAACCGAACAAAATATATCCTGAGCTGAACCAAATCTTTGTAAAAATGACAGAGCTGAAGCCAGACCCTTTTTCCAGCAAGGCTGCTAATATAATCAGATCTGTTACTCAAGATAACCAACCAAAGGACCTCATTAATAAGTTGTCCACAAAGACACAAATGTAAATGTAGATTACTTTTTTCTTAGTTGATTACCCTCTTCAGGTAATCTGGAAAAAAAGAATTTATTGCTACATGCTATCACCCATATGCTTCAACGAGTTTTAAGTAACTACAAGTTGAACGTTTGATCCACAATGATCACAAAAAAGTAAAAGATATCTTACTGGATGGATGAAAAGGAAACACATTGCTTTCTTTTGGCCAGCTAATTCTTACCAAACTTCACCAGCATGACCATGCTCGCGATAATTTGCCAATTCATCAGCATACGCAGAATCCCAATAGCTCTGGAAACCAAGCATTGAAGACACTCCTTCAGCATCTTGCTCCTCCTTGTCAGAACTGTTCGTACACACAGATGAAAAATCAGATATTTGCTTATTAAAGCTTTAGCAGTTGGAATTTACAGCTTGAGAAATCAACATAAGAGCAATATCACTTGGCAATTTTTTAGGAAGATGTTCCTAATCAATGATCTGAAGCATTTTTATTAATGGTGGAACCCGTAAACATGCAGTTTCAGCTACTGCTTTATTCATGATTTACCTTACAATGCAACCCCAACAGCATTATTCAGCATCATTTCCATTATTAATTAGCTCCAAATAAAATTGTCTAGCCCAGTGCAAAATGAAACGATTTAGTTTTTATACACCGACAACAACAGCATGTAGTCCCACAAAACACTGACACTGGGTAAACAATTTCTACACAATCAGATTACTTTAATGTCAATAACCATAATAAACAAGAATTCGTTACCTGCAAAAGCTGACGACTAATCGGAGGTGAAGCTAGAATTTTGAGTTTATGGGTTCTAAATTTTAGAAAAGACAACTTACTGGATGGATTCTACATAAATTATTTATAGATATTAATAGAATTTTGAACACAAATACAAATTCGCGCCAAAGTTAATGGCATCTGCTGGGGCGACCCCCTAATCAAACCAAAAGAAGTACCTCACCTAACTTGCGAAGAAATTGGTGGAGCTGGGTTCCGCACTATGAGAGTTTGCTTTTTATCTTTCTCGGAGAGGTCTGATCAAACAGGGGATCAGACCACTCCCGGTGTTTTAACTAGTCACTAACCGGCTTAATTAGTACCCGTTCAGTATGCGTTGGCTAAGCCCCTGTGACTAACCTGGTACAACCCATAAAATACTCATATTACACTGTCAGCTTCCACTTTATTCAAGTTTAACTTTATAATGCAGTTTCAATAGCATCATTTCCAGCATCAAATAGTTCTTAAATAATATTTCTATGAAGTTCAGACTTAATTACTTATCTATCAAGCATAATTTATTTTTTAACGAATTAGCTCCTAAAATTTTGCATCTAGAGGGGACAAAACCTGTAATCGGAGGCTGCACGGTTATTGACAGCGGCGAGAGCTTCAGTAGCATCAGCATGACGTTGTTCATCATCAAGTGTACTTCCGTATTCGCTCTTTATCGACCACGAGTCCGCCGCTACTGATCGATCGTCGTCGGAGATCAAGTCAGTTGCTGCCAATGTTCGCGCCGGCGCGACGTCGGAATCTTCAGGAAGGAGTCTCATTCCGACCATATATATCCGATGAACGGGAGAATATCGAAAGAGAGATACCAAAACCCTAGTCAGAAGAAGCAAAATGGGAATTTTCAGAGGGGAGAAAGAGGAAGTTGAGAAAGAAAGGATGGAAGGACACCTTTGTCTTTTCATCACTATCGATTTTTCATCTCACTATTAATAAATGTTAATGGTAAAAAGTGAAATTCAAATTCAAAAAAATTATTAATTTTATTCACAAACTATTAGCAACCTTAAAAATACTTTCGCCCGGCAACTTTCTCATGTAATAAGATAAGTGATCTCAATTCTTCTCTTTGATAGATTAAAAAAATGTCACATCGGTTTTATATGTGTATAGTCCCTTTTTTTTTCAATTTTTATTAATGGCTACAATTGCTGCCTTCTTCCTATAAAATTTAGGGGAAATGGCTAAAATTACCTTGAACTATAGGAAAAGTGAAAATTAAATTTGAAAAAGTTATTAATTTAAATTTCTCGATAAAATCTTAGTCACAATAAAGAATGGTTTGAATTTTAGCTCAAAAAATTTTGAGGTGTTACATGAACAAACACAATACTATGAGAGCTTACATATCTCGAAAAAATTAATTCTTGGCAAAAATCCTCAAAACTTGCAAGAATCTTGAACGTTCTTCTTTTTCTCCTCTTGAACTTCTCAAAAAAAAAAAACTAAGCTCTTTTGGAATGACTAAAACGGATTCCAATCAGTTTAGACCCCAAAAAGGGTGAAAAAAACGTGTAGGCCTAGTGGGTAAGGAAAAGATCGAAACACCCCTCCTTAAAACGGATGAATTTTCTTAACTAGACAGGTTGCACTCAAACGGGCATATCCTTCATCCAAACTTGGAATTTAGCAAACTTGGCGGTGTTGAAAAAAGGACTCAACGACCTTTGATTTGATATCTCATGGGCCACCTAACTCATCATGTGCTGAAAGTTATGATAGTTTGAAGTTGACCCAAAACTCACAGTCGAAGAGTAACTTGTACCAAACTCAATTTAGCTCTTTCTAAATTTAGCTCTTTCTAAGACCAAGGTGTTACAATCCTATCGATACATTGTGGTTGTATACTGATATTGTACTTGCTCTTTTTTTGTTGAGTACATGATATATTCAGGCGGCTGCATCAAAATCTCAATTGTGAGACAAGTGACATTTGAATTCAAGGCTGAGCTACTTCTTCCAAGCTGCCATTGATTCTTCTCTACCTTTTGATCCATCTCTTCGGACTTAGACATTTATAATTTATTGCTACTAATTTTGGGATTGCATACCGTATTCTTGTCTATTTTAGAGTTTTGGCACATGTTTCTCTTTATTATTTCTTTATTAGATGTCTTTGATTTGACATGATAAACAAAAAAAATAAATCTTTGTTGATTGTTTATGTAGAACTATTGTACTTGACATTGATCCACGTCTCAAAACAACCAAACAATATTAAGTACTCTGTTGTTTTAACCAAAGTGTGAAAATGAACATCTACTTTTAAACAAATTGAAAGAAAAAAAGAAAATATTTTTTTCTCTTACTTCATCTTGTAATTACAGATTATTCGGATGATTGTTATTTATTATGTTTGTTATTGAAATATAATATTTATTTTGATTATTACTTAAGTTTACTGTATTTTTTATAAGTTGTTCAGATCATTGTTACTTATTATATTATTATTTAGGTATATATAATGTTTGTTTGATTGTTACTAAAATTTATACTATGTTGTTAACTATGACAATGCAATGCCATACTTTTTATTCTCGTTTCCAATGTATTTGTTCATATTATTATTTTGAATTTGTGTCCTTTGTCTTTGTGGATAATTTTATTTTACTTTTATAGAGAAGATATTTCATGGAGAGCACTCTGAAGTATCATGCTTCTTGTATGGATTGATCATCTACTCTCAACATTTTTTCTCCAATTTATGAAACAATATTGTATGATAATATAATTACAACATTTATACGGTGCTATCCAATTTAATTTTTTGTATTTTCTTTAAAATTGTTCATTTTGAAGAAGTAATTTACAAACATTTTTTTCATATTTACTAATTTGAAATAATTACGTATTGTTTCACTAAGGCGAGTGACATAGTTATTTTACTCTATATACATGTGAATCACAGTAGATACTTTTATTTGGAACACCAAATACATTCTAATGAGGATGAATGATCAAGGGCTTAAAGAAAAATGGGTCAGGAGCGGGGTGAGTTCAAATTATGGATAGATTTTATGTAATTCAAAATTTAAAAAAAAAACAAGACAAATCATAATAGGCCACATACTATTTTAAAGAGCAAAATTTGACCAAATTCAAAATTTGTTTGAGGGGTAACCTTAAGTCAAAAATTAAAGGTTGAGGGTATGTTTAGATATAAAAGTTGAAGAACGTTATTTGTCAGTCATTTTTTATATATTAGAAATATTTTTGCCTCATTTTTGTTGTATAAATTAATCTAAAACGTTTTATGAATTTCATAAACTTCAAATTCCAAATCCTCTTATACATATGATAATACCATATTGAGTTATGTGATACAAGTACGATTCAAAGTGAAGACTAGTAAAACTTTCGTTTTAAGCCTCCCAAAAAATTAATATTGATTTATACGTTTATTTTTACTTACAAAAAGATTTGCAAGGAAAAGAGTACAAAATCTTTATTAAAAAGTAAGGAAAGAAAGATTTTTAAAATATCCTCGAACTATTGGAAAGGGTGCCAAACTATCCTTCATCCACCTATTGGCTCTCAAATATCATGTCATCCACCTTTGGGTCCAATATTGACCACTTTTACAACATGTATCATTTAAATAATTTTTTTTAAATACGTGATGATCATCTATTGGTTACAATTTAATTGCTTAAATTAATTTACAAACTCACCTATTACTAATTTTATCTGACCCAAATTGACTACACTTAACTCAAGTTAACTACACCTAGCTCAAATTAACTACTTCCGGCCCAAATTACATTTACCCCACCAATTAAAACAAATACACCTTTTATTCCTAATATTTCACTTTTATTTCACTTTCTCTTCCAACCTTACTTCCCCAATAAATTCGCATACAATGTCAAAAAATACTACGTAAATACACTCATGTATATATCACCATAAAAAATCATGAGTGTTTTGGTGATTTCTTATGGTGATACATGTGTGTATTTAGGTAGTGTTTTTCAAGATTGTAGGCGAATATATTGGGGAAGAAGGTTGGAAAATGAAGTGAAATATTGGGAATGATGGGTGTATTTTTTTTAATCTGTGGGGTAAGGTAATTTGGGGCGGGTGTAGTTAATTTGGGTCGGGAGTAGTTAATTTGGATTGGGTATAGTTAGTAATGGTTGAGTTTGTAAATTAATTTAAGTAATTAAATTTTATCCAATAGATGGTAATCCATTATAAAAGTGATCAATATTGGACTCAAAGATGGATGGTAGGGGTATTTGGGAACCAATAGATGTCTGACATGGGTATTTTGGAGTCAATAGGTGGATGAAGGATAGTTTTGTACCATTTTCAATAGTTTAAGGATATTTTAGACCCTTTTTCCGTGGTAAAAATTGCTTGACCTTAAATTAAACTACTTAAATCTTCATATTAGTAGATAAAAACTTGTTATGCAATAATATCTAAGGTAATGTATTATATACACATGACTAACTTATAATTAACTTGAAATAATCCTAATTACATTATTGGATAAATTACCTATATACACACCTTTTTTTTTCATAATTTTCATTATTTCCTATCGGTTCTAAAATTTTCCAAAACCCCTTATTTTACTCTCAAATCCCCAAACGCTGGATACATAAATCCTAACTCTCAAACCAATATTTATCCCTTCCTTATTTCACTTCACAAATTTCTCCTTATTTTTAGTCACAAAATCTTAATAGTTATTTTCTCAAACACGTTTGAAATTCAAAATCAATCTCTTTTCGGTAGGTTAAGGATATTTTTAGCCAAAAAAGTTTTAAAAAGATATTTATGAGTTTTTTACTTATTTTTTAAAATACTCCAAAATTTATAATAAAATAAACTATGTGAACTTCAAATTTTCTACGCTAAAACGTAAATTAGAAGGGAAAAAAATAGTAGTAGTTGTTATTATTTGTTAATAATTAATATAATATTTGAAGAAGTTCTTGCCTTTTCTGTCGTCTTTTCTTTTTATTTTGTCTTTTTCCTTCTTTTTCTTTTTTTGGTTTAGTAGTTGTTTTGTTTTTCTATTATTTCCAAATCACTGTTGGATTTGGTATTTGTATTTGGTTTCTTTATTTTTGGTTAATAAAACTCACCTCGGGTGTTTGATTAAAAAAAAAATATAATATTTGTAAATCTTCCATAATTTGAGTTGGTTATGGACTCTAACAACTAATCATTCATTGAAACTGATTAGGATTATTGTATTATTATTTAATCTTCTCATTTTCTCATAATAATATTAGTTTCAATTTCACCAAAATTTTATACAGTCTAATATTTTCCTCTTTTTCTGGTGTTTTTCATAATCAAATTTCTTTAATGGATTGTGTTTGTTCATGTATCTAATTGATAACTTAATTCTTATTTATTGTGATACATTTATAGATACACTTTATTTCAGCTTACATACATCATTATTTCACAACCTTATTGTACCAGATACATTATTATCAACTACAAAATGATACATTATGTAAGTTATAAATATCTTTCAAGGCAAACAATACAATACTTATCAATTTAAACGAGATACATAAATAGTAATGTATCATGCACTAATTTTTTAGATATGATATGTAAATTCGAATTTATACTAAATGTATCAATTACATAGCAGCTGCCACACGGTAATGTATCGATTTCAAATCTAACATCTTATGGACAACAATTACTTATTTAATGTATCTAGTATAAATACAATACTTATCAATTTAAACGAGATACATAAATAGTAATGTATCATGCACTAATTTTTTAGATATGATACGTAAATTTAAATTTATACTAAATGTATCAATTACATAGCAACTACCACACAATAATGTATCGATCTCAAATCTAACCTCTTATAGGCAATAATTATTTATTTAATGTATCTAGTATAAATACAATAC